CGGTGGCTCTAGGCACAGGTCGCCGTGGTGGAATTTCCTTCTTTTTCAAAGCTGACGAATGCCGTATTGTGGCGATAGCGCATTTTGTGTATATTTCCTCATCTGCTTGGGACATTTGGGCCCCTCCACTTGGTGGTATTGTGAAAATGCTGTAGTAAACATGGGTGCACAGTGGCTCTTTGAGATCCTACTTTCACTTCTTCGGGATATACCCGTCTACTGAGATTGCCGCGTCATGCGACACTTCTGTTTCTAGAATGTGCTGTGCTGTTCCGCCAGTGGCTATACCACTCTGTTTCCCGCCAGTCATGCTCAGGATTCCAGTGTTTCCACACCCTCACTCTGCCTGTTTTTTCTGCTTTTTGGGGTATGGCACCCTACTGAGGATCTTTTCTTGTGCTACCTGTATGTAATCTTCAAAATAATGTCTATTAAAATATTATATATTTTTTTAATTGTTGTGTGTGTGCATAACAGTGTTGCTGAATTTATATTAGTTACCCTCCCTTACAGTCATTTGGATTTTTTATGTAGATGACTATATTAAAAGAAAACATCAGAATCCCTATCAGTAATTAACAGCACCCTATTTATCCTCAATTCTGACACTAATTGTGTGTTTGAGGTAGGTGGTGGGGTCCATTTGGCTTTCTTACTCTCCCAAATTTTAAATTGTAGGCTTTTGGCAGTCTAGTAATTTGCCTCAGGTTTTTGGATAAATCAGACTCTTAGTTTCTAATTGTTTATTGATATCAAGCAGTTCTTATGATTGTTTACCTTTTAATCATTTAATTGTACAAGTTACATCGACAGAATTTTTTTCTTTTTTAGTGTTAAATCATCTTTTGGTCCTTGGGACAAACTTTCCATATGTATTTTTTTGTACATTGTTGGAATTTTCCTATTACTTTTTTTAGGGTTTTACTTAAGCTGCCTATAATTTTCTCTCTAAAATTGCATTTGCCTGAGTGTGGACTTATTTCTTCTTGAAGATCTATTTTTGCTTTATATAGTTTTAGGTGCTTCAGAGTTTTTTGAGGGAATTCAATCTTGGAGTAGTGTTACCTCCATAGTGAAATGTTTCTTTTATTATTATGTTAAGTTAAATAATATTGTTTGCCTTAAAGTTCATTTTTTTTTCAGCTATTAGTATAGATATTTCAGTCTTCTGTTAGCTGGATCTGGTCTGGTAGATCTTTCTCCATCTCTTTATCTTCAGTATTTCTTTGTCATTATGGCTTAAGTGCACCTTTTGTAAATAATAATATAGTTGGATTTTGTTTTTGATCCAGAGTTTCTGTCTTTTACTTGGTAGATTAAATCTGTATATGGTGATTACTGACCTATTTTTATTTATTTTTCTGATCTTGCTGTGTGCTTCCTTTATGATAGTTTCCTTTGCTCCCTCCATTTCCTAAATCTTCTGTTAAATTACTAAGATTTCATATTTCATTTACTCCTATGGCCTGTAGAAGTTATATATGTGTATACTATTTCTATTTCTATATTAGGTCATTACCCTGAAATTTTTAACTTATCTACTAACTGTTTAACAAACTCAAAACTTAACCACTGTGTTATGATTGTCACGGCTGCTAAGGAACATTAGAAACATTATAACTTAAGCTATTTGTGTCATTTTTTAGACTGTATAGATAATCGCTGCTACATTGTTTTCTGGTTATTTTCCTTCCCTTATATCTTTTATATGTCACAACACACTGCTCTGCTGTGGACTGTGGTCCTGGTATTGCAGGTGACCCTTCTGTTTGTTTCTCGGCAGAGCCTAGTGCGCTCTGGGACGCCAGGCCTGTCTGCGGGACTCCTGGGCCAGCCGTGCCTTAGGAGCTCCTCTGGCTGCTGCATCTCTGGCGTGTCGGGCCGGAGTGCTTCCACACCGCCACGCCCTAGGGGAGAGTAGTCAGGCCCCACATCTGCAAGAAGCACAGCCTAGGGATTTGATTTACTAAGAGGAATATTTGTTGATTTGTTTTTAAAACCAGGGCCAGACAAGTCTAATGAGTGAATGAGTTAATGAGTGAATTCACTTTGTTTTCCCTGAGACCTCAGTTTGCTTAATTAACTTCCAGCGTCTGTACAAGAGTGGTCATTCCAATCCACTTCGTTGCAGCTGAGGGTTTCATCGTTAGTCCTCACATGTGTATTAAACTCAAACCCTGGGTTCGCTGAGCTCAGGGGCCACGTGCTGCCCTGTGGTAGCAACTTGTGGCTGACATCTTGAGATGGCGCCGTTACCGTTTCCTTTGCACTCAGTCTTGGATGATTAACAGTGCAATATTGACCTGTTTTACAAAATCATATCTTCTCAATATTTGTTGTGAGGAGTTGTCAAAATTAGGTAGAAAAAAAATACAGATTGGGACAAAGCTTTTCATTGTTAATTCTGCATTTAATTCACAAATTCACCTGTTATATGCAATAAGATCAGGATGAGACATTAACGTGTGCTAGGAATGACTTGATCTAGCTGTTTTTTGGAAAATGCAAGAGTTGGCAGTTAAGATCCTGTTTAGAGTCTTCCTTAGAAAGAAACCAGTTGCTGGCCCAGTGTTACCTGACTCATCTCTCTTAAGGAACAGCAAAGCCTCCTGGGTCATGATCACATAAGCACAGATTACTCCAGATCCCTTGTCAGGGTCGTACGCACTTGCTGCTTCTGCTGTTTTCACATTCAAGGAAATTATCATTTAAATTTCCTAAACTCATTGGTCTCGTTGTTGTAAATAATGTTGTAGAGGTATTTTGAACAAATAATAAACCAAAATCATAATATAATCTAATTTAGCTGGGTTATCCTAGACTTTGTATATTATAGTCCATTTCATACTACTTTGAAATCTTTCCTGCTTGCACCAAACCCCTCCTCTGTCATACCTCATCAGTCTGTTTGGTAGAAATTTTGCAAGGTCTTCAGTATAGATCTAGATAACACACTCTTTCCTAGGCAGATGAACAGGATTTCAGTAATTTAAACCAATCATAAGCCAATTTAGAAAAGCACATTTAGTTTTCTGAATATATCTCAGCTTTATATAGGATATAATCTTTTAAGATGAAATAAGATGATAAATTCTATGACTTAGAAATTTTAGTATATTTCTACATAATCGGATATACAGTGATGTTTACTTAATATTCAGAAAGGGCTGTTGTATAATAAACAATGTTAATTTAAAAGTTTGAACTTGTTTTAAAAGTAAATTTGTTAGTATTTCTTTTTATTAATTCAGTGAACATATGAATGCTTCCTAATTCTTACTTTTTTTTTTGTCTAAGCATTCTTAAAAAATGTTAAAAATTTATTATCTCTTATACACAAATTTATATAAAAGCAGTTTTACTTGGCTTTAATCTTTCTGGAGGTTTGATACAAAGTCAGCCTTTGGTACTAAAATGATGAAGCAGAAAGAAAATGATATTTGACATATAATTTTATATTAGCTTATTCAATGACATTCTGCCAACTAACAAGAAACAATTTTCTGAATTGTTTTCTGAATTGAAACTGAAGCATAATTCAATTATTTCTTTTAGTTTCTAGAATAGTAATCTTGAATAGTGTAACATAAAAAGAAATTAAGGGCCCTCCATGATGCCCAGTGGGTTAAAGAACAGCATTTTGAAGCCATCCACAGTCACTGCACCACAAGTTCAGTCCCCAACCAGGAAGGTGACTCACATGGCGTGGCAGACCTCTCCTGACCTGCCCTCTGCTCCCCTCAGCAGTGTCAGCTCCCAAATCCATCTCTGGTGAATCCTCTCACTCCCTGCACCTCAGGCCTGTACCCCAGTTCTGTGTACATAAATTAATACATCTTTTTTAAAAAAGTTAATCATAAGCCATGTTAATTTATTTTATTTATATATATATATTTTAAATTAGGTAGTTTTGATTCATTACCACGATGTCAAAATTAATTCATCACTTCCATTTTTTCATTTTTTCTGTGGGCTTGTTTAGCTTTAGCCAATAAAGTAGGGGACTTCTACAATTTCTGTAACATTGTTAGAGTAGTGTTATTTACATGGTAAATAGGAGAAATATTTACCTTTCGTGAATCCTTCCAAGTGCAATAAAAGTAAAGTCTGAATTGAAAAGCTTTCTCTAACATAATCAAAACAAAATTTTAGTGGCACCAAAGAGCCTTTATAAGTTTCAAATAGAGTTATGCAAATAAATGTACATTATTAAAGAGTGTTCAGCTTTTCCCTATTTAATGTGTCTGCATAACAAGTTGATATTTATTCTATTACTTGAACAGGCTTAATGCAACATTTTAAAAATCAGTTGTTTATTCAGTTAATTTTCAGTCTGTTATTAAATTAATTTAAATTAGCCCTTTTCCACTGTGAAAGTTCTACAAAAGAGAACATTGTCTTTAAGACACAACCTTCATTTAGAGGTGGTTGTGCTCAGCATCATTAAACATTGCTGTTGACAGTGCCAAAAGACAAGGTGATATAGCGGAAACCCTTTCACTCTTTCTCGTCTTTGGGTTTCCTGTTCCCCTTTTTAGCATTTGGTCTTCCTTCCCCTTCAAGTTTCCCACTGATTTCCCAACTGGCCTACGTGGGAATAAAGTCATCCATACGAAAGTGTTAGTCCTTATTAATCTACAAGAGCTATTTATATTTTTATAAAAATACTGGTTAAAGAAATCATAATGAAATATACACAGGAAAAATATATATATATACACACAGAGAAAATAAGAGTGGATGGATTCATGAATGGATGGGTGGGTGGACAGGTGGGTGATGGGGTTTCAGGCATGAGCCATCTTCTGTCAGGCCACCTACCCTGGCCATAGTGTATCAGTAATGGTCCAGCCTGGTAAGCTGGGCAGATCCCGAGTCATGTTGATTTTACCGCTATTTTGCTACTGTGCTTTATCTCGACAGCTGGCATGGAGTGTTTACTTTCCTATCATTTGTTGTGATAGCTTGAAATCAACTCTCTTTTTGTTTGATTATTGAAGGCTGAAAGAGCATATTCCTTCTGTGGGACTATTGAATACATGGCACCAGATATTGTCAAAGGAGGCGATTCCGGGCATGACAAGGTATGCTCTGTTTTTTACCTTTTTAAATTTCTCTCTGTCATGTACAGTAAGAGTTAATGACTTAGGTACAGCCTCTTCCACAGAGCCCTCTTTCTGGTGAGGTCTTGTGTGCATTTTTTTCCTCTCCTGTGCATATCAGAACACATTATGATAGCTAGTGTTTTGGAAGGAAATAACAATAAAAATTTGTGCATTCAATTTTGTGGAGATGCTGCAGACTTGTCACCACCTCTTCACCAGCAATAGCCATTGTAAAAATTTTGGATAAAGGAAAAATTTCTGCCTTCCAGATTCTCTAAGTCTGTTTCTCTGAGGCCTCTGAAGGCCTCCTCTTTTCTCCTCCTCACCTTCTCCTGTGCATGAGGCTTTCTAAGTAGTTGGTTATAAAATCTAGGTCACATTTTTTTCTCCTTGAGTTTTAAAAGGGTACAGATTTACTCAGTTTTTTTTCTTAAACTTTTTGCTTTATCAAGGAATTTTGACTTCCCCCCCACCCCCATCGTTCTGTCTCCCTCATTCCCTCTCAGCATCCACACACAGTGCAAATAGGTAACTGTGGAGAATCTTTAGTCTCCTTGCTAACGACTAATCATCATCTAAAGGTTTGTGTGGCACTGGCTTCAGGCCTGTAAGACTCTTGATTGTAGGCCTGTTCCCATTAAGAGCAGCTTTCAGACTCAACAGCAGAACATTCTGAGGGTCCTGACTCAAGTGACCGTGAAGCTGCTTGTGTAAATGGAAGAGCTGAATTGTTGGTGTGGTCTGCTTCATGTTATTCTTTGAAACTATTGGGAAATTTGGTAGGAACTTGTAGCAGTTGTGAATGTTACTTTCCGAGACCTAGCAGAACCAGTTTTTAGGTAAGAAAACTTTCCGTCCTTCCAGAATTTCTTTATACCTTGCAGTCGAGAATAAAGCCAGTCAATAAATTGTTCCTTACCTTTCACGGAATACGTTGCCATAGTTGAGTTATTAAATGAGATAAGGTGTGCAAGAGGCCCGTGTTCTCACCTGCCACGGAGAACACATCTCATGATTTCAGGCCACATGGCTCTATTCCACTCTCTACCACCACCCCCCACCACCACCACCATCTTAAATCCACAGATTTCACACTTAAAATTATAGGAATTTACTTCAAATTTAAAATTTTGCAAAAAATATTTTAAATAAAACCATTCTTTAGGAAACAATTTAAATATTTTAAATATTTAAATTTTAAATCTCTTGACTAACTTTGCTCTGTTTAAATTCTATCCTGAGGCTATCTAGCTAGTCATCCTGTTCATGTCTATTTTCTATGTAGTAAGTTAATACTCCTTGCACAGAAAATGATATAATTATTTTGTTAAAGTATTTTCCAAATAGGTGTTTATTTTGTCCTTTCAAAAATATATGTTGGTTGCATGCCTTTTGCAGCAACATGGATGGAGCGGGAAAAGATCATGCTTAATGAAATAAGCCAAAAAGAGAAATACCAGATGGTTTAACTCAGAGCAGGAGCATAAAGGACCAGGGGAGAAAATAATAATAATAATAAACATCTATATGCCAGAGACATTTTGTGGGGGTAGAGTGGGGGATGGGATCAAAAACGGTGCAGGGAGGGAAGTGCTTGGGACTGTGGTGATGGCACACGGGTGATTTGGTGATGGGAAACCCGCGGGGATTACAACTGAGATAGAAAGAGGCACAAAATGATGAAAAGATAAGCTATTCTATTTAAAATTTTTTGAAGTATGTGTTGTAATCTATAAAATTAAATTGTTGTCTCGCAGGCAGTTGACTGGTGGAGCTTGGGTGTGCTAATGTATGAGCTGCTAACTGGAGCCTCTCCTTTCACTGTGGATGGAGAGAAGAATTCCCAGGCTGAGATATCGAGGTAAGACTTAGCAAAATAAGTGAAGGGACTAGCCAAGTTTCTGCAGCTAGTCTGATGAAAATGTAAAAATTTTTATTTTTTAAGATTTATTTATTTGTGCATACCGAACTGGGGTACAGGCCAGAGGCTCAGGGGCGGTGAGAGGCTTCACCAGAGACAGAGTGGGGAGCAGAACAGGCAGATCGACAAGGTATACTGCTGAGGGGAGCAGCAGGCGGGTCAGGAGAGGTCTGCTGCGCCATGTGGTCACGTCTGGGGCAGGTGGGAATCGAACTCATGCGGAAGTGGCTTAAGCTTCTTTGTGCTGTGCTTTAACCCACTGCGTCACCAGGGAGGGCCGAAAAAATAATTTTTTAACAGAGCTAGACATAATAATGTTTAATTGGTAAATTCTGTGTATACTTAATAGATACAGATCTATAATCTTTATGCTTTGGGGCCTGATTAGATCCAAGTTCCGTAGAAGTGTTACCACGAATGTGTGTGTGCTCCAAAGCCTTTAGCGTGTTCTGTTTACTCAGCACGTGAGTCATTGCTGAGAAGTGTGTGTGGTGGATACTTCCCCCCGCAATGTATTCATATTTCTTTGTGATCTTAAATAACGAAAAGTGATCATATTTTCAACTCATGGGTATAGTCTTAATGAATAAAATTTTCAGTGGACTAACGTTCACCCCCGGGTCGGTTACCATACTGCTCCGCTCCTCTCACTCACGGCGGCCATCACAGTTGCAGCGTTACAGTGTTTGGGGATTGCTGCGCCTGTGCGCCGACCTGGGCTCTGAGGGGAAGCCCGTCTGGCTTTGATCTCCACACTGCTCCACTGCCAGATTTCAGTCAGTATTAGTGGAATGAAATGAGTTCATGAACAGTGGTGAGACATTTACTAATTACTAGTTATGATTTTGTCCTGTTTTTACTTGAATTCTGTAACTTTGAGAACAGATTTGACATTAAAAATTAAAAACTGAGGCTTCCACCTCCTACCAAGAGGGAGTAACAGGGATCATGGTTAACTTCCCACCTGAAACAATTTTTTAAATGGGCAAAACGTGACAGAACAGTTGTGAAGATACTGACCATCTAGCGGTGAAGGGCAGTGAACACTGGGAGACCAGCTGGCCAGCTGCAAGGAGGGAAAGCCAGACTGAGGTGAGGATGTGGAGCTGACAGTCTGGAAGCCAAGGCAGCTGATTTGCAGTTGAGTGTCAGCGAGGAGAAAGCCGGAGCAGGAGGGTCCAGAGATCTTTACAAGGGACCCTCCAGCATTCAGGTAAGGGCTGAGAAGCACATGAGTGTGGAGAATGAAGGAACCCCCGGGTAGATGTTATCTCTCCTCAAACTGACCTCTGCATTCAACACAGTCACAAGCCCCGCAGGATTTTTTTTTTTTTAAAGGAAAAACGAAGGTAAGGTTAAAAATTGGAAAAAAAACGCAAAAGAAACCAAAAAGGGCAAACAAGAAAAGTGAATTCAAAAACTTTTTGTAAGCTACCAGAATTTAGACACTGTAGTGTTTATATCAAATAGCCAAATCATCAGTAGAATAGAATTGAGTCTAGAACTAGACGCATTTACAGAGACAACTGCTCTTGAGAAGGATGCAAAGTCCTTTCGGTAGAGAGTAGACAGTCTTTTCAACAGATGGTGCTGGGACCAGTGATTACCCATGTGGGGAAAATGAACTGTCATAATACTGAAAAATAACTAAAATGGATCATACACCTGATTGTAATACCTGAAACTATAAAATTCTGGATGAAAACATAAAGGAGAATCTCTATCACCTGGATTAGGCAAGGATATTTTTATGTACAACTGATATGTTGGACTTCATCAAAATTAAATTCTTCTGTTCTTCATAAGAAACTGTTAAGAGATTGAAAAGACAAGCCTTAGACTGGGATACACTTGCAAATCATGTATCATGTATCCAGAACATATAAAGAACTCTCAAAACTCAAGAAAAATAATCTTACTTAAAGTGAGTTTAAGCTTTGAGCAGACAGTTCACCAGAGAGGATCTACACATGGTAAATAAGTTCATGAAGAGATGACCCATGTGCTGGTCACCAGGGACATGCTGTGAAACCATGGTGAGCTCACGGGGTGGCTGAGCAAACAGGGACTGGCTGTTACGGGTCCAGGGTCTCCACACAGAGCCAGGAGGATATACTTGTGTCTAGTGTAGGAATTTGGGGAGGTTTACACGAGGAGCCAGCTTGCACAGGTACGGAGGTTGCGAGGCGCATGGTCTGCTAGCTGCACTCTGGGGACCCAGGAGGCCAGTGGGTGTTGCTGTAGTCGGAGGCCAGAGAGGAGCCAGGGCAGTAGGTCCCCGTCCAAGGAAAGAGGCGGCGTTCCAGGCAGCAAGGGACTAGTCCTGCCTCCTGCTTTTTCTGTGCAGACCCTGGGGGGACTGAGCAGCACCTCAAGTGGGAAGGAAGATTCCGATTCAGTTGCTAATCTCATTTGCAAACACCGACAGACAGGCCAAGAACAATGCTTAATGTAGACTCTCTGTGACCAGGGCAGTGGCATTTAAGATTAGCCATTCCAAGTCCACCCCTTGTCAACGTGGCTACCACAGACCTCTCCTTAAGCTACACTTGGCCTCCTGTAAGGACAGTAGCAAGGTCATATTCTCACCTACTGAAGTACAGCTGTCCCTCCTTCACCAGAACTCACCAGCCCTTCCTCATAAACTCCTTGAGTGATGTTCATTCTTCTTGAAATCCCATAACTTAAATACTGATACTGTTCGTGCGTCACAGGGACCCCAGACAGGTAAGGGGCGCACACTGTGAAAAGGACTCGGAGCCATGCACACAGAGGCAAAGGAAGCAGATTCTTCATGTGAAAGCTCTTTAATGGAGTCAGTGGGGCCGCACGAGGCGCTGCTGGCATCGCTGGCTGAAAGCACCCTCTTCTGGGGGGTTCATGGTGGAACCCGAGAGTAAATTGCAGGCAGATCAGGCAGAGCCAGTGTGTTCCTTTGCTCACTCACAGCAGTGAAGCTGGCTGCCCTGGCATCACCACCAGCTAAGCTAGCTGCGGGCTCTGCCGCTCAAGGCCCAGCTCACTGCCCTGCAGGCCGAAGGGTGTGGGGCACCTGCTGGCGATCGCACCCTGCTTCTTTCAAGTCCCTGATGGCGGCGCTCGCTGCCTGGGTGATGGGAAGCCCTGATGGCTTCCACTCGTCCTTCCGTGTGATTGCTCTCGCTGCGCAGGCCAGGGCGGAGGCTCTGCTGGCTGCTCAGTGTGTCCGTTCCAGCTCCACCAGAGGTTCTGGAATGGGAGACTAACCGCGGTTGGGCTCAGGAGCCCGGTGCGAGGAGGCGCCGAGCTGGAACTGCTGCCCGCCCGCCGCGTCCACCACAGCTCGGGCCGCAGGCCGCGTGACATCTGGTGTCTCCGGACACCAGTGTCAGCTCAGAGCCGGGGCCGGCCGGCCCTGAGCGCTGTGATTATCTGATTTTTCTTAATGCGCAGTGACTCTGGTAATGGCTGTAGGCCCCTTCGGGGACAGGCTGTGGAAAAATTAGTAGTATAAATCGTCCCTTCCACTTGGCAGACTGTGTCTATCTGCTGGCTCAGGACCTGGTTGGGGGCACTTGGTTGCGGGGGAGGCAGGGGACGTGACAGAAGGGACACAGGGAACCCTGGAGGGCGTGGTCACCTTCTTGACTGGCCGGCATCTCAGCAGGTCAGATCGAACACTTTGTGGGAAATAGATTGTACATCATGTACCTCAGTAAAACTTGACTTTCGCACGCACCCTTTACAGGACAGCCAAGGAGTAACTGACTTCTCACTGTTCCAGCAACCTAATACCTAAGTCAAGTGGCTGCTTCTCTTTTAAATCATAATTAAAATCAGTTTGTTTAAAAAAAAAATCAGGCCTGCTGAAAAAAATTTTAAATATGACATTGCTTTTTTTTTTTTTTAAGATTTATTTATTTATACATACAGAACTGGGACACAGGTTGAGAGGCTTCACCAGAGACAGAGTGGGGAGCAGAACAGAACAGAACAGGCCGACTGACGAAGCACACTGCTGAGGGGAGCAGCGGGCGGGTCAGGAGAGGTCTGCCGACCCATGTGGTCACCTCCTGGGCAGGTGGGGATCAAACTCATGCTGCAGTGGCTTTATCTTCTTAGTGCTGTGCTTTAACCCGCTGCGCCACCAGGGAGGGCCGACATTGCTTATTTTAATGAACTTTTTTACAATTTGAAAAGGCCCCAGAATTTAGGAAACCTTGGCGTAGTCTTGAGAAGTTGGGTCCCCTTGCAATGTCGGGCCCGTCCCCCGACAGAGCACAAAGCTCAGCCTGAAGTGGCCCCTCTCATAAGTCCCCCTCGCCCTTCACATACACTAACGCTTCTTTTTACAGTTTTCGTTTCCACCTCAGGTCGCCTTGAGAAAATACTTCGCTGGTTGCAGTGGCAGGAAGATTCTGAATGAGTGATGTTCAGATTCAAATCATTTCAAATGCCTTTAAATCAGTTGTTGGAAAGAGTTGTTTAGAAAAAGATAACCTGAGTCAGATTGTCTAAAATCTTAAAACTCCAGGACATTTTCCAAGAATTTAAGTAGGGTTCTTTCCCTTTAATCAAGTAATTATCCATACTGTCATGCTGTTAATAATTTTGTTCAAAGCTTGGTGTTAACCTATGATCCCATGGG